CAAAAAGAATATTTTATAATTAAAATTTAAATTTAATCATTAATTATTTTTATTTAAAGACAATAATTTAATATTTTCATTTATCATAAGACATGTTCTCATTAAATATATTATATATATATATAATGGATATCTAAAAAGAATTTAAACTTGTGACTTGTTAGATGCTAGATTATGGTTTGATTCAATAGTTTAAAACAATTAGATCGATTCATGATCAATAAATTTTATTTAACAGCGTGCCTAATTCCCTAATATCAATCGTCAAAATACTATTCACGTGTTCTAATTTCTTATTCTTCTTTACAAGCTTTGATCAGTGCACTTTTGCTCACATGCTCAACGTATTTTTTTTAACGCTAATGTTCTAATAATTTTGCTTAATGATTTAATCACTTTTAAATATTTTAGAATTAATTCAATGGTTTGATTCAATAGTTTAAAACAATTTAGATCGGTTTATGATCAATATCTTTTATTCAACAACTAGGCATTTAATAAAGTAATAATGAATCAATACTTTTTATTTTTTAATACAAGTTCTTTATTTTTTTTGTTACACCCATAGGAAATTTAGTATATATATCTACGTAAAATGATTCCAAACATAGAAAGAACGATGTTCCTTTAAGTTTCTTTTCTTTGAAGACTAACTGATTATTTATTAACGAACAATTTTCAGTTCATAACTTGATATATATAATTTTTTTTTTTTTTGTTGAACAACTTGTACATTCAGACAGATATTACGTATCTAATTTTAAAGAAATATTCAGATATTGTCATGATCATTTTGTACCAAAAAGATATTGTCATGATCATTTAATACGGTTTTCATTAAATTAATTTCATAGAAGGAAACTTCTATGAAAACGTTTACCGATTGATTTTTCTGTTGAATCAATAGCTATAATGATATTCATTTAGCTCGCAAAGGTTAGATTAATGGAATCAAATGATTATTTAATGGATCATATCTCAATTTCAATATTTGTTTAGATAAATTAACTTCAATATAATTCAATAAATCATATCATGTCTTTTTTTATTAGATTTGGATTGTGCGATTATTTAATTATTGTCACAAAATAGGGCATATACAAAAGAATTATTTTTTGTGGAAAAAGAAGAACAAAGGCAAGAAGGGTAAGTAGAAAGAAAAGGATTATGATGATGATGATCGTGTTGCTACTACTACTTGTGGTGATCTTGTTATTCTCAGTGATCATGGGTCAGTTAATCTTGTATTAGATGAGAGCATGTGGATTGTTGATAGTGGTGCTACACTGCATGTTACACCAAGGAAGGAGTTCTTCACAGCTTACACTTCTGGTGATTTTGGAGTGTTGAAGATGGGTAATGATGGTGTGTCTAAAGTGATTGGTGTTGGTGATGTTTTCCTACAAACCAACATGGGAATGTAGTTGTTGTTGAGAGGAGTCAAACATGCTCCTAATGTCCGTTTTAATTTGATCTCTGTGTAGATGCTTGATGATGGTGGTTATGATAACCACTTTGGTTCTGAAAAGTGGAAACTCACCAAAGGTAACTTGGTTGTGGCTAGAGGAGAGAAATCATCTAAATTGTATTGGACAAAAGCTTTGGTTGCTAAAGACAGTGTGAATTCCATGGATATGGAGGCATATTTGTGGCATCGAAGGCTTAGTCATATCAGTGAAAAGGGACTGAATTGCTTAGCTAAAAAGGATGTTCTTCAAGGGTTAAAGAGTGAAAAACTAGAGAAATGTTCTCATTGCATGGCTGGCAAGCAAACTAGAGTGTTCTTCAAGAAGCATCCTCCCTTAAAGAAGTCAGAGTTGTTGCAATTGGTACAGTCTGATGTTTGTGGTCCATTGAAGTTGAAATCCTTTAATGGTGCACTTTATTTTGTTACCTTTATTGATGATTGTTCCAGGAAACTATGGGTCTATGCTTTGTAGAGAAAAGACCAGGTCTTGCTTCACCCTGAAAATCTACCTGTTCTCTAAGGCCCTCTTGCCCTTAGGCAATTTCACTAAGTCATAAGTGTGATTATCATGCAAGGATTTCATCTCATCTTGCATTGCATCCAACCACTGTTGCTTTTCTTCACTTTCTAAAGCCTCTTCAAAACATTCAGGTTTTATACCATAAATCAAGGTCACACACTCATCAGAAGATTACCTTGTTGAAGGTTGTCTCTATCTATTAAACCTTCTGAGTTGGACTTGATGTGGTTCAGGTGCATCATCAATATTCTCATCATGTGACATCTCATGCTCCTCCTGGTCATCATCAATAGGAACATCTAATCCACCTCCAAGTTGTTGATCATCAACATCATCATGTTGTTCACCAGGTTGAACACTACCATAATCATTATCCAGATTGTGAATAGGCAACCGCATAGGATCAACATCAGTCAAATTTCTATCTTTCTCGGGTGTAGTCTTTTCCACCTTATCAATGTCCTCAATGGTTTGGCCTTCCATGAACTGTACATCACGACTTTTAACAAGCTTCTTCTCAACAGGATCATAAAACCTGTAACCAAATTCATCCTCACCATAACCAATAAATATGCACTGCCTTGTCTTCGCATCCAACTTAGATCTTTCATCCTTTGGAATATGGACAAATGCCTTGCAACCGAAGACACACAAATGATCATAGCTTACATTCTTGCCAAACCAAATTTTATCTGGCACCTCACTGTCAAGAATATCAGTAGGAGTGAGATTAATAACATGCACCGCCATGTATAGTACTTCACCCTAGAAATGCTTGGGTAATTTAGCATCTGATAGCATACATCTCACCCTCTCTAGCAATGTCCTATTCGTCCTCTCCGCTAAACCATTCAACTGAGGAGTTTTAGGAGGAGTCTTCTCATGTGCAATACCATGTTTCTTGTAATAAACATCAAAGGGTCCACAATACTCACCACCATTGTCAATATGAATACATTTCAGCTTTTTCCTTGATTGTCTTTCAACCAAGGCATGAAATTGTTTAAACCTTTCCAACACCTGGTCTTTTCTCTACAAAGCATAGACCCATAGTTTCCTGGAACAATCATCAATAAAGGTAACAAAATAAAGTGCACCATTAAAGGATTTCAACTTCAATGGACCACAAACATCAGAATGTACCAATTGCAACAACTCTGACTTCTTTAAGGGAGGATGCTTCTTGAAGAACACTCTAGTTTGCTTGCCAGCCATGCAATGAGAACATTTCTCTAGTTTTTCACTCTTTAACCCTTGAAGAACATCCTTTTTAGCTAAGCAATTCAGTCCCTTTTCACTGATATGACTAAGCCTTCGATGCCACAAATATGCCTCCATATCCATGGAATTCACACTGTCTTTAGCAACCAAAGCTTTTGTCCAATACAATTTAGATGATTTCTCTCCTCTAGCCACAACCAAGTTACCTTTGGTGAGTTTCCACTTTTCAGAACCAAAGTGGTTATCATAACCACCATCATCAAGCATCTACACAGAGATCAAATTAAAACGGACATTAGGAGCATGTTTGACTCCTCTCAACAACAACTACATTCCCATGTTGGTTTGTAGGAAAACATCACCAACACCAATCACTTTAGACACACCATCATTACCCATCTTCAACACTCCAAAATCACCAGAAGTGTAAGCTGTGAAGAACTCCTTCCTTGGTGTAACATGCAGTGTAGCACCACTATCAACAATCCACATGCTCTCATCTAATACAAGATTAACTGACCCATGATCACTGAGAATAACAAGATCACCACAAGTAGTAGTAGCAACACGATCATCATCATCATAATCCTTTTCTTTCTACTTACCCTTCTTGCCTTTGTTCTTCTTTTTCCACAAAAAATAATTCTTTTGTATATGCCCTATTTTGTGACAATAATGACACTCCACATTTTTGTATATGGACTTGGACTTACTCCTGCTCTTTTCTCCATCAGCGAACATGAGATGGTGCAGTTTGGGAGCACCACGGATGATTTGGATACCTTGCAGGTTGCCAAGGAGTTTGGCTTTATGGATAAGACTAGATAGTCCTTCCATGCCAAGAATGAAGAGGTAAGGGGAGATGGGGTCTCCTTGTCGGAGGCCTCTTCCAGGAACAATAGAGCCAACGCGATTGCCATTAAGGAGAACCTGAAAGTGAACAGAAGTGATGCACATCATCATCCAACTTACCCATTTGTTGCAGAAACCGAGGCGCTCCATGATGCAACGCAGGTAGTTCCAAGAGAGCCTGTCAAAGGCCTTGCTTATGTCGATCTTCAAAGCTGCTTCGTGTTTTGTTTTCTTATTATTACAGCGTAGGTAGTGGATGGCTTCATTCGCGACGAGCACATTGTCCGTGATAAGGCGGTCTTGAACAAAAGCGGCCTGCTCAACAGATACACACTTATGGAGGAGAGGTTTTAGTCGGTTAGCTAGAGCTTTCGACAAAATTTTATATATCACATTACAAAGGGCTATTGGGCGAAGCTCTTTCATGTTGGAAGGGTTAGGGCATTTTGGGATCAAAGCAATCACAACATCATTGATGTGTGGGGGAAGAACACCCGCTTCAAGCCATGAGTTGCAAGAGGAAAGAATGTCTTCGCCACATACCTCCCAAAATCTTTTGTAGAAACCAGGGTTAAAATCGTCGGGCCCAGGGGCTTTGTCTTTGTGCATCTGAAAGAGAGCTGTGCGAATCTCATCTTTTGATAAGGGCTTTATTAGTTGGTCGTTATCTAGTTGGGAGATCTTACAGTCCAGGGTGTCGGTTATAGGGTGAATCTCCCCCGGAAGCGTGTTGAAAAGGTTCTGGAAGTAAGAGGATACAAGGTTGCCAAGTTCAATAGGGGTTGAATGTTTTTTACCTTCAGAGTCATAAAGGGTAGAGATGTGATTTTTCTGGCGGCGTGTGTTCACCGCTGCGTGAAAAATTTTTGTATTGGAGTCCCCTTCTCTTAACCAGAAAGTTTTAGCACGTTGACTCCAGTAGGATTCCATGATACGAAGCTAGTGGCTAAGTTGGTGTTGTAGTTGAAAGTACAGGCCCCACTCAGTGGTACCTTGGGCATTCCTGCATTTTTCCATCTCAAGTTTAAGGATGTCAATGGATTTACACAAGTTAACATGCTTCCGTCTACTCCAGATACGAAGGTATTTCTTACAGGAGTTGATCTTGTTCTCAACACCTTCTTTGTTGTGGTAGCCCCAGCCGTATTTAACAGCACGCTCGATATCTGGGTCTTCCAGCCAAATGTTCTCAAAGCGAAAGTACTTATGCAGAGGGTTAGAGAGATTAGCTTGAAGTTTGAGAGTGATAGGAGAATGGTCGGATTTACCAGCAACACCGTTTGATAGGAGGAAGTTTGCAAATAAATGGTGCCAATCTTTAGTAGCAAGCGCTCTGTCCAGCCGCTCTTCAACCAAGTTATTTGGGAGGTTTCCTTTGATCCATGTAAATGGATGACCAATAAGGGGAAGGTCTTCTAAGCCACAATCCATTGTGGCTTGACGAAAACCCTGGATCAGGTAGTAGGGATGAGGGTTCGTACCTTTTTTGTCATTGGATGACAGTAAGTCGTTAAAGTCTCCAATGATACACCAAGGGAGGTTTGAGAGAGAGGCGAGATGTCTAAGCAGGTCCCAAGAGTCTTTCCTCTTACGTCTCTCGGGATAGCCATAAAAGCCTGTGAGCCTCCAGTGAATGTTGTTACGATCTTTGACATTTACGTTGATGTAATTAGGATTGGCTTGGGTGATAGTAATGTCGAAGGTATCTTTCCATAGGAGAGCAAGCCCACCTCCACGACCAGACCTATCCACAACATACCAGTGGTTGAAGTTCAGGATGTGGCACAAATCTTTGATTCTATTGGAGTTGACCATGGTTTCACTCAAAAAGAGTATATCGGGCTTGTATGAGCGGGTGAGGTCCCATAATATCGGAATTGCACGCTTGTGCCCGATTCCGCGGCAATTCCAGCTTGTTATACTCATAAATCCTGGCAGCCCTGGGCGTCAGGGACTGCCGTTAAAAAAGTCATATTGTTTACTTCATTGGAGTCAAACATGTCAGCTTGGATGAAATCTTTTTGATGCTTAGGGTTGATGCTAGGTTCATGTCTTCTACGTTTCTTGTCTGCTCCTATAATAACCTCATTATCGTGTGGGTGCGAGTCATTGACAGGGTCTGTAGTTTCGTGATTGCTGTCTTGATATTTATAGTTGTCGTTTGTGGTAATGTTGTCTTCACGAAGCCATCGTTCCCCTCCGATGCTTGGAATTTGGCGGATATCCGCACGTAATTCTGGACCCCAAAGACGGATTCCATCGTCATCTTCTTTTTCAAAGAGTTTTGGGCAATACTTGTCATTGTGACCCAAGATACCGCACAAGTAGCAAAGCTGGCCAATTTTTTCGTACTTAAAAATGACAGTCTTCCATTCTCCACCTTGTTTCTTGATTTTCTTTTCTTTTTGCAAAGGGAAACAAATGTCTATTTTGATGCGAATACGCATATAGGATTTCCATAAAGAAATGTTGTGCTTGGAGTCATATTCAAGAAATTTTCCTAAGCTATTTCCCAGGTGCTCACCTACGTTTTGGGTCATAAAACCTGCAGGCAAATTATGGACTTGGACCCAAACATCTATATGGTTTAAGGGGGTATCTTTTGGAATGTCTCCCTCAAAGATTTTGCTTACAATGAGGATGCTGTTTTCAAAGTTCCAGGGGCCATTATCAAGGATACGTTTAAGGTCTAAGGGATGGTAAAATTGAAATAGAAAGACACCCGGTTTAAGTTCAGAAATGGAGACTCCTTTACCAGGACGCCATATGCTAGCCATACGGTTTTTCATTATATGAGTATGAATAGGTTTGTCAGTAAGGAAACGACCCACAAGACTCAAGTTAACCAGGTTAGAGGTGCCTTCGACATCATCATCTTTGATGATTAAGCCTTCAAGGTCTTCTTCCAAAAAGTCCATAGTGGTTATAAGCTTGAATATTGGCTAAAGCTGAAACAACAGGGTTAAAAGAGAATACGCAGAGCAGTGAAAGTATGAGAAAAACAGAGAAGGTCACGTGCAGCATATACGGAAACTAGGGAAAAAAGAGCATGAGTTGATTACAGTAGAGATAAGCTTTACGTCGAAAAATATGCAAGATTCGCGTAAGGTAGGAAAGGTAATGTATGTAATGCATGCGAGGTTCACGTAAAAATAAAGATTTTGGAAGACGCAAAAAGGTAGGAAAGGTTCGTGCAAAATTCGAAAAAGTAAGACGTTTAAAGGAAAGGTAATGTATGTAATGCATGCAAGATTCACGTAAAAAAAGGCTACGAGGAAACAGTGCAAGCGATAGAGACAAAGAAAGCCATACAAGAAATTACGTAAAAATCAATTTGTGATTAAAGAATTAAAAGAAAAGAACCTTGCACCATTTGCAAGAGAAAGGAGTAATCATAAGAGAGAAGCAGAGAAGTGACAGCTGGAATTAATTGCAACGAAATGGCAAGACTCTCACGAAGAACGGAGAGAGAAAGCTCTCACAGGAGGAGAGAAATCGAAAACAATTAACAGTAGGGTTCGGATTGTGCGATTATATATACTAAGAAAAAGACACATTTCGTGTCACTCTGTTTAAAAATAAAAAGATGATGAACGGTTAGTTAAAGAGTAAAGGTTTTAAAAATTGAATATTGCTAAAGTAGAAAAAAGATAAAAATAAATAAATAAAGAATAATGAAAGAAAAATGATTTTAAATGTAGTTATAGGAATAAATTAGTTCAAAATTTGTGTATATCAAAAAGGGGTATTCCTTCATTAATGGTATAGATTATTAATAGTATAGACATAAAAAGATTATTTAGTAAATAAATATTGTGTGTATTATATATATTATGTACGTAGTATCATATCCAAGAATTTTAAACAGTGAGAATAATATTTATATATAAATTTCTAGTAATAAATATATAATTTCACATTTTTTAAAATAAAAATATATATTTTAATTGTTCGATTCTCTAAGAGATTTTATATTCTAAAAACACTAAATAATTTTTTTCATTTTCAACATCTTCAAAATTATTTTTCTTTATATAAATAACAAAATAATTATTTAATCATTCATTTTTTACATTAAAAATTGTCTTTTAAAAAAGAGTATAATATGAACTTGGATAAAACATCATCTTTTGACTAAGTTTACATAACTTTAATTGACATGACACATACATATGTATAAGTTTGTTAATTCACAACTACTTATTTTTCTTTTTAAAAAAAGGAGTAAGTAGTTACATTTAGGTGCATTTTAAAAATTATTACGGTTATAACTTGCTAATATACTATTTTTAAAAAACAAAGATGTATTTTAACAAACCTCACATACATTTAATAACTTACATCCATTTATTTTTAAGAAAAATTAAGTTAACAAACTATACTCAGATGTATTTTGTTTAAATGAAAAATATACTTCAAAAATAATATATTGATTTTAACCTGCACCCGTCCCTACATTGCCACACACATGTATGAAACATAAAAAATATAAATAAAATATTTTTTAGGTTTACATATATTTTTAGTCTCTTAAATTTAAAATAAGTTTATTTTTTATCTATTAAATTTAATATCGATCTTTTTAGTTTTTGTAATATCAAAATTTTTTATTTTAATATCTCATGTTACAAGTAATATATCAGATACCGACAAATTGAGATAGTTATGCAGCATCAACTGAATTTTATGAAATATTTTCATTATTAAAGGTTCTTGTAAGTGAATTTTGTACAATAATATTTCACAAATTTACTAATGAAATTTGACTATAAAGACTAAAATAAGATTTTTTCAAATTATTAGGACTAAAAAGGTTAGTTTTTAATTTGAGAGATTAAAAATAAATTTATCCTAAATTTAAAGAACTAAAAATATATTTAACCCTATTTTTAAATAATATAAGATATAAGTTATAAATAAAAGTTGTAACGACCTGCTATGGTTGTCACATTATGAAATAACACAACTAAACAACTAGAAATGTATACTAAAATAATATAACATGAATATATAATATATATACACCATTGTGCACCAAAGGTGGCCTAACATGCCCAATATATACAACGGTCTACAAAATAAACTATACCAATAAAGGTAGTCAACAAAATATAACACTCCAACTCCTGCCACCAAGTGGCCTCCATTAGCTAACACCAATCTATCCATCCCTTACTCCCATACATCGTATGATTATCGTAGTCCAAACCACATAAAAACATGTAAGGGTAAGCTGGTGAAAATAAACAACACATATATAGAAAAACAATTTAACATTATTATCATCATCATCAACTAGTTCAACATACAACACACAACACATAAACAACATATCTCAACAACATCTTCATAACACATCAACACATACAACTTATATCATCACAATATCAACTCATCAACACATATGTGTCCTTACACATTTCAACTCAAAGATCTCCTACAGCATGGGATGTGTAATTTAAGTGGCTAGGTTCTACCGAATCGAAAAAATAGAACCTTTTTGGGCTTGCTAGGTAAACAAAAAATTTAGATAAAGATCCACAACACGATAACGGTTTCTCAGACTTTGCCACTTAAACAAGGAAGTATAGTACTTTGTTAAGATAGGACAACTGAGTTTAGGCCTACCACGACATTAGCTAGCTCAACTAAGCCACCTATGAGATTAGCCTACTGACTATCTTCCAAATACTACAACCCACTGATGCTCGGTTAGGAACTAAGTTTCTGACTTCGTACTTTACTTGAATTAGCCGCTTGTAATCGGTATAGCTCGACCTGGCCCCTAGACCATGGTTGCTTTTTACACATGTGCCTCGACCTTGCCCACACGCAAGACCAACTAAGTCCTAGAAGAGAACAACACATCATCCACTCCAAGGGACAACTTCTTGAGGAAGGTTTTTCAACAAATTAGACTCTTAGAGCATCACAACTATCTCAATCTGCACAATGGGATGAGCAACTTCAAAAATATTTCTCTTAATCTTAGTGATCAACAACTCATCATCACAACACAACAACATAGTTATCATCTCATCATCTCATTCAACTCACAACTCAAACATCATAGTCATATCAATAACTTAGATACCATCTCTACACATCTATACAACTAGGGTTCAACATGCAACTCTCAACTCACAACTATGTTTTCTCATCACACTATAATAATCATAATTATTCAACATTTTGTCATTTATATCAACACACAACATTTTCATCACATAATACAACTCATACTACATATTTACAACTCATCTATCATGCCAACTTACACACATAAACAACATAAATCAACCTAAGCACCCAAAACAACTTTCAACTTAACCCAATAACTTATTCTGAAATGGAAACCTTCACATAGAATAACATATATGAAGTTATACTACTCCTATCATTCTCATCCTTATCTTATATGAAAGACAAGAAAATTTTCTACAAATCTCATGAATACATAAAGTCCTAATTCTATCATCTGCCTTGTTAAAAAATGTAAAATTCGCAACAACTAGCCTAAATCTTGACAGTTTTACCTTTGCTCACTAAAAAGGTCATAACTGAAGTTCTAGACCTCCTTTTTAGGTGATTCCAACACCATTGGAAAGATAACATCCAAGGCTAGAACTTTCTGTTGAGATTCATGGAGTGGTGAATCAACTCAAACTTGGAGAATGAAGGTTTTGATGATAACAAAGTGTGGATTCTGAGAATCAAAGCTGACCAAGGACATCAACAAGTCAAAAACAAAGTCAAGAAGAAAATATGGCTATTATGTTGTGTAATAGGAGTAGCTCATAAGTTGTATTGTTTTGTTGAGCTTATTTTGCATGTGTGTGCTTTGTGCATGGGTTAATCTTTATCTAATCTGACTAAGAGTGAGTATGATGATGAGTTAGAAACTTGAAAAGTTATTTTGAGACATA